AGCGTATTCAGCTCCTGACACACCTGACTCGCCGCCATCTCCAGCCCACGTTCAGCAGGTCACTGAGAACATCCGCACTGTCTCACCCTTTGGTCACTTTCCAGGCTGTGACTCCGTGGCACTGGCTCTACTGACACTCCCTCCTTGAAACTCCCCCCCTTGATTTCTGAACACCTCACGCCTGCCTTTTTCCTGCCTCTAAAACCACTTCTTCCCACAACCGCCAGTCGCACACACACATCCCGCTCCCTCCCGCTGGAGCGTCAGTCTCCTGGGCCCCCTTGCAGCCAGGGCGCGGGGAACAAGGAAGGGGCATCAGGGAGGCTTAGAAAACAGGCACACTCAGCTGACACGCCCCTTTGCCCCTGCCCTGTGTCTTCACCATCTCCCTCTCTCCACGCCTAGGCCAGGGACCCTGAGAGGCACACAGAGCTGCCACCTTACATGGAGGACAGCCAGGCTGAGACGACGAAGGGGAACCATGCGACAGTGACAACACAGCAGCAATTTCTGCATAGGCAGCTTGTCCCTCACGTGGCCCAAGCTCCCATGGGTTAACTCCCTCAGGCCTCACGGCCACCAAGGAGACGGGCCATTCACCCCATTTCCCAGGTCCTGCAGGCCACCCGCAGCGGCTGAGGGGCCGAGCCCAGCTCGGAGGGAGGCAGGCGGGCTCCAGAGCTGCGTGTGCAGCCGCAGGGCCTTGATGCCGCGCCTCAGCGCCGGCATCCACCAGGACTGCTGACATCAGCTCCGCCACCGGAGAGCCCAACACCTCCACGCAGAGAACACCATCGTCAGGTCCTCAGAACAGACACAGTCCTGCCCGCAGACTACGCACACGGGCAGTCGCAGGCTCCACTCGCAGCCCCCCTCTCTCTCTGGCCAAGCACATCCCAGCCCAGGATGCTCAGCTGCCATGCCCAGGGCAACAATGCCCAAAATAACCTCCAGGCCAACCTCTCCTCCATGCCCCAGGTCCCCATGCCACCTCTACCTGACTCACCACAAGGCAGGCCCAGCGCTGATGACCCAGTGGCCACTGCGCCTCCTGAGCGGGCTGCTTCTCCTGGGCCCTGGCCTGGAAACAGCACCGTCTCCACCACGCTGCCCGGGAGCCAGGGGCATGCTAGACCTCCTTCGCCCTCCACACCGCCCATGTCCTCTAACTTCCAAGGGGTAAAACTCAAAGAAGTGTCACACGCCTGTTTCTGGAGGAAGGTGACACCTCTGGCAGGTGCTGGCTGGAGTGTCCTGCACCTGCCTGGTCCCTGGGTCAAAGACACAGGACCAAGCAGCCAGGCACAGCTCAGCTACAATGACCCCTTCACACATCAGCAAGTGCGTATTTATGTGCCTAAAGCTCCTCTGCCTCCCTGAAAGGCTTCAATCCACGAACCCCAAGCCTTCCCGGCACAGAGCACGCTTCTGCAATGCCTTCTCTAAGCATGAGCTCACCCGCCACACCTCTCCACTCAGGGAACCCCCGCCCCAGCCCAACGACTACAGTCACCAACCTCCACGACCGAATAGGCTCTGCACACTGCTCCCCACCTCTGCGGGGACAATAGGTCTCCTGGCCTCCTTCCCCAAATGTCCTGTGTGAGGATGTCAGGCACCCTCCAGGGCCCACTGGAGACCATGGGCTCCACTCAACAGAGAGTCAGAGATTGCTCCACACTTACTTGGAAAGGCCTTGCACTAGTGAGGAAGGTGCATGTGGGCACATGCATGGTTGTGCACATGTGTGTGCATACATTGGTGTCTGGGCTAAGCTGGCACTTGGAGATGCTGTGTCCTTCCACAGAGGGGCCAAGCCGCCTTTCCCCGATGTGTTCCACGGCGCTCCACAAGAGGACCTGAGCTTCGTGCTGCCCGCTCCTGACCCCCCACCCACCCACCACCCCCATGTGCTGGCAGCTCTGGGACCACTTCTTCGCTGCTGTCCCCCCTCCCTTCCAGGTCCACCGCGTTCCCCCAGACGTCTCCTCCCCTCTACAAGCAGTTCCCGCACGCCGATCATCCTGGCCAGCCTCCTGCCAAAGACAAGCCCTCCCACACCCCAGGAGCCAACCTCCCCTGCCAGGATACAGTTACTCTAGCTGGCAGGCCAACGTCCTCCAAACCAGACTGTGTGCCAACCCCAAATGAGTCAGCCGCTGTTCTCTTCCACATCTTTTCAAGTCAAAAAACACAGCCTTGTGTGCCAGCACCTGTGGTCAGGACAAGGTCACCAAGGTCATCAAGGCTGTTTCAGGCCCTCCTCCCTCAGGGACTAACAGGAGCCCGGCTCCCGGCCAGGCGTCACAGGCACACCGCGGTCTCATGCCCAGAGGCCTCCTTATACCTGTGATTGACGGGAACTGCTCCCTGTTCAGCTGAAGAGAGAACCCCAAGTAACAGCGTGAGCATGCCCCAAGAACCGAGCTGCAGGCAGCTTTCAGGAGCAGCCCGTGCGGACTGGCCTCCATACCACCCGCACTCCCAGTCCCACAGCCACGTTACAGCCAGAACGGCGACTCACAAGCACAGTCGAGGCACTCAGGCGCCCCCACACAGAATCCTGCAGCCAGGGCTCAGCCCCCAAGGAAACAAGGTATTTTCAAGACGCTTAGTAAGCAAAGCATCTAAGGTTTACTTGCTGGAACCCCGCAAGCCAAAACCATCTGCCCATCAGGGTAGGACGCCCCCCTCGTCTATGAACTCTGAGCGCCCCCAGTCCCTGTGATTGGAGGGACTCTGACCACAAGACTTGGGGTGCACCACTCCTCAGCAGCACATCACTCAGTGGTTCCCATACCCCCCAACAGTTGGCCCAAAGTTCTTATTAGGCATCACCCCACCCCCAGGCCTGCCCTGTGTTCCCCCAGCACCCCTGCTGGTCACCGCCCATCACTGTCCCCACCAAGCCTGTCCTGCCACCCTGCGTGACGGCCCTCCTTGCCCCACGAGGCACAGCAGGAACATCATGGGGTCCAGAAGGCTCCCTGGACTGCTGGCCTGGGCTTGTCCTTATGGCACCTGCGCCCCCTTAGTGTGGGGTGTCCATTCATTTAATTAAGCCTCTTACTTGTTTAAAAATCTGTCTTCCCTGGTACAGCCGCAGGCTCCCAGAGGGCAGGAACAGCGCTCGCCTCGCTCACCTGAATCCCTGCACCCACAGAGGGCCATGCCCCGTTGACACTGGCTGAAACAAACTGGCATGGACTCCACATGAGACCTGGCACCAGAGCATGCACTCCAAGGTCTGCACGACCACACACTCGGGCCCAGCAGCCAGCGTGGCGTCCACCAGGCCACTGTGCAGATGCGCTGCTGCCATGGGGACTGAGATGAATTGAACTGTGACAATGGGCACCCGCACACCTGAGACACAATATCTGAAAGGCCACAGACCCACCAATCACACCTGAGAGCCAGAACCAAAAAATAGTGTCCACTCAGTACCACAACCAGCCACGACTGCTGGTGATAAATGGCACATTTTACACCAGTGTCCCAAAACCACACTGAACATCCTCTCACTGCACATGTCCCTGTGTGTGCACGCCTGTGTGTGCATGCATGTGTGCAGTGAGCACGGCAGGAAGGCAAGGACACCCATGAGCGACCTGAAGGACGGCCCCTGCAGGACACAAGCTTCCTCCAGCTTTTCTCGCTCTTGGACATTAACATCATAGGCATATCCTCCGTCCTATCTTGCTGATAATTCAAGCAAATACAGGAAGGATCGCTTGGGTCTTACAATGTAAATTGGCGGTAAAGTAGTTAAGACAAACTTATTTACCACATTAATTAAATGGTCTATTTAACATGGAATATCAATTCTCTAATCACATCTCGGTTGAACTTCTTTCAATTAACAACTCTGAAGTCTACTGACAGAGGTCCTACTGTTCTGGGATCATTAAGACCATTCCATTATCTGTCAAGTGAGGGAGTGAGGGGCAGAAACGCAAGGGCTCTCAGGGGTGGGCCTCTCCGCACTCAAGAGACCATCAGGCAGTGAGCAGCAGCCTTTCTCATTAGTTGCTTAGCAATGAGAAGACCTCCTACGAAATCATAACTGGAAACAAAGTGTGACACGGGGTTGCAGTAAAATACACTAAGTGGATATGCTCTCATCCTCGGAGGACAATCTGTCCTGAGAAAATCCAATCTCTCCAGATTCACAGCAATGACAAGAATCTGAGGCACAGGGAAACTGAAACGGCTGAAAGCGAAGCTGACGGACACAGACGAACACAAACTGGGAAGGTTCACGTGGGGACAAACTAAGATCGCTTTTAAATACAAGGGCTACAGCTGAAGAGCGCACTCCTCGTTCGGTATTTATTTTTTATCCACTAAAGAATTAAAAAGTAGATGCAGCGTTTATAGTACCACAATTTTTTAAAAACTTAAAAAGCAGGTGAAGTTCCTTTTACAGTTGGCTACTGTGACATAAATGGAAGAAAAATTATATATTGTACTCAAAGAGGAACGGCAAAACCCACCCCAAGTCTCTGGGACACCAATTACTCTGCATGTAATTAATATTCCCATAAAATGACACGTTCCCAGTACATCACAAGCAGAAAGGACACAAACGCTGCCACTGCAGGACCGCAATCCAGGGAGACTCGCTTTGGGCTCCTTCGGTGCTATTCTATCACCGCGACCTGAGCCACATAGATCCGAGCTCTGAAAACCAGGGCCCTGAGGTCCATCACCCCGGAACTGAGCCCCCCAAATATCCTACATGCCTCCTTCTGTGTCATTAAGAAAAAGATACTGATAATCACTGCATCTTTATGTCTTCAGTGGTTCAGCACGTGATTTAAACATGTTTTTTAAAAACGGCATCAATGAGAAAAATACTGTTCTCTGTTACTAGTCATTGATAGCGTTAAACTTCATGGCGATTTCCAATGTTGGTATAATTATGCACAGCCACAGAGCAAGGCCACCAAAGTTTATGCTTAATGTTTGAGAGAGAAAACATCGTGACACGATCTTACCTATGTATCCGCAAATGAAGACTACAAAGAAAGGAGTGACAAGGTCATTTATCCCCTGCACGTATCCGCTGGCAGGGTGACGCATCGCCCATATAAACAATATCCTTTCAAAAATCTGAAAGAAAATTGAACAGGTGGTGAAGCAAAAAGTAAACATACCAGACACTTGAAAATGTATGCATTTTTTTACTCAAAATATATACTATCACTATTTTTCGGTCTTTCATATTAAAATACAAATCTAAACAAGAATCAACTGCTAGATCTTTTTTTTTTTTTCATAAAATTCCAATCTTAATTTTTTTATTGACTCACAAGCGACATGGAACATTCTGCACCTCCTGGACTCAGTCCTTCCACACAAGCCAGCTTTCACAGAAGCTGCTCTCTGCTCTCCCAAGCCCCTGGGGACAACCGCACGTGGCTGCCCAGGACGTGGCAGGCTGTGCAGCAGCACGCAGGCCGCCACGGAACCCTTCCTCAGCGATGCGGGAGGCGGGGAGGGACGGGTGTGTGGATGGGTAGGTGGTGGGTAGGTCCACAGATGGACAGGTGCGTGGATGGGTAGGTGGGTGCAGGACAGGCAGGAGAGGGAGGGGAAGGAGGGGAGTGGATGGGTGCATGGATGGGTGCCCTGGACTTCCCTCATAAGGTAACGTTTTTATCTTTAGTACCATATAATTGACACATAACATTATATTAATTTCAGGTATACAACACAAGGACTTGTTATTGTTATATCCTGTGAAATACCAACACAGTAAGTCTAGTTCACATCTGTCACCTCAGAGAGTTAGACATCTTCTTGTTCTGAAGACTCTGAAGACCTACTTTCTCAGCAACGGCTTTATTAACTGCAGGCTCCACACAGTACGTGCAGCCCCAGGAAGTGTTTATTTTACTTTGACCACCCTCACCCATTTCACACCCCCACCCCAACCCCCGCCACTGGCAACCACCAGTCTGTTTTCTGTTTCTAGGAGCTTGTTGTTGTTGTTTTCTAAATAGATGTGTCTGGGAACGTACCACAGCCACAAAGACACACTGCTGCTCACTGGTTCCCGCAGCCATCCAGCCGCCCAGGCCAGGAAGGGGGGCGCTAGCCCAGCCTCCCCCCTTCTGCAGGGCACTCACAGGCAGAGCCAGGACCCCCTCGCCTTACCCCAAGCCCGTCTTTCTTCACAAGAGGCACTCCACAGAGGGAGGCACAGTGCCGTCACCACCCCCACGCAGCGTACACAGGCCTGCACACAGGCTCACAGGCCCGCCCCGGCTCCCCGGCTCCCCGCCTCCGGCAGCGGAGCCCTGAGTGCACAGTGTGGCACCCCGGCTCCCCTTGCTCTAGCCCCAGCCTTGTGATCCTCCCCAGCCAGCACCCACGTGCCAGCAGCTTCTCTGAGCCTGCCAGGCTGTCACCTCCACGGTGCCTGCCGCCTACAGGGCCCACCCTCCCTTACTTGGTGTCCAGCTTCCCTTCAAGCAGCACCCCATCAATGGAGACCCTGCTGCCACCTGCTCCTTACCCCACTTTGGGGAAACCAACCACTTCCTGCTTTGGAAGCCTCACGGACCCTCTCCCCAGGGAGAGTCTGCCCCCTCCCCAGGGCCGCACCCATGCTGGCTCCAGCCGGGTCCACACCAAGGATAGACTCGTCACCCGCCAGGTGTCACACAGGCTAGGCACACAGTGCAGGCTTGACGGGTGAACGCTCAAAGGATGAATTACATCATTTCCCAACACACCTACCTCGTAAAGCCAACTGTGTTTGTGCCCAAGGAGGTCAATCCCTTCCTATGTTGCCTACATTCCTAAATTTTATTGAGCCCAGAGTCTCAACCACCACCCACCTGGCACTTACAATGAGGGACCTGGGCTCAGGCAGGGGAAGGCTCTTAACCCAATGCCCCCAGTCAGCTGGTGGCTCAAGCAGCCCCAGAGCCCAGCCCCCAACCCACTGCCCACCCTGGCACACAACCCCCTGCATTGTTCCAAATGAACACAAGGTTCTGTCACTTACTCAGGCCGGCACCTCAGCACAGAACCTGTGCAGCAGGCACCTGATAAATATTTGCTGAATGAGTAATACATTCGTGCATATATATTCATACTCATTTTTCACTTTAAGTCAACAACTTTCTAGAGAGAACTGAATATTTAAACAAAATCAAAAGCCCAAAAACACTCGACAGCGCAGCACTACTTCCTATTTCTCAAGTGTAACATAGTGGCTGGTGCTGATGCCCCGGGTCAGGCACCACGGCCCCTGGTGAAGCCAGAAGCAGTGCTCGGCAAGCCAGCACCGTGCGCTCCATCACAGATGGCCAGGAGGACTGAGGAGACAGGTCCCTGCAGAAGAGACCCCTCTCTCCAGCCCCAGCACGCCCCAGCCATGAGTCAGAAAAGCAGCGGCCACAGCCCTACCCAGCCCAGAGCTGGTGCGAGGCTGCACATGGCAGGGTGGGGCCCGGCGGCACATGGACCAAGGCAGCCAGCACACACTCAGCAGGGACACTGCCCGGCAGGAGGCGCTCAGCAGCCAGGACTGCTCAGCAGGAGCCTCCAGGGTCTGGAGCCGCACGGCCCAGGGAGACGGTGGGACAGTACTGCCCAGCCAGCAGGAGCCGCAAGGGCGGGAGCTCAGTGTTCACGGGAGTCGCAAGGAGACGGAGAACGCCAGCTGAGCGGCTCCGCACTAACGGGGCCCAGAAGCGCCCACTACAGCTCCCCGGCGGGTTTCCATCCCATGCAGGAAAGTTCTAGCAAAGACCACCAGTGGGTGAGGAGTCCACTGGCATGCCAGCTCAGGCCCCACAAGTTAGACAAGTGGAGCCCGTGGAGTAGATGCACTCCACGATTGGCTCGAGGGGCGGGCCCCCAGACCTGAGAACCTCAGAGAAGGCGGCGGGGCAGAGAGGCGAGTCTACGTGCTCTGCGTGGTGGCTGCCAGGTGCAGCCCGCGCTCCTTCTGCGCTCCTGGCATGGCCCTTGTCCCCCGCCCACTGCGATGCTCCACCGGGCCCAGCAGTGCAGGGGACAGGGCTCAGGCCACCCCTACACCATTGCCAGGGCCACCCTCATCCCCTGCCATCCTCAAGACACACAGCAGGAGCACCCAAAGGTGGGGCTCACCCACTCCAAAGGAAGGGCCCAGGCTGGCAGGGGCACACACAGTGTGCAAGGGGCACTGTCCACAGTGCCCTCCCAGTCAGAGTGGGTGTGAGGCATGAAGCAAGGGCCGCTGGTCGTCACACCACAGCCAGGCCCATGGAGAGCTGGGAAGGCATGTTTCCAAGGCAGGAAGGAGTCACAGAGGCGCCTTTACACTGCAGTGAAGGACGTGGGCCTCAGCAAGCAGCTCAATGGCTAGTATTGATGACACTAACATGGTCAATAGTGGGCGACATTACCAAGTGCTTACTGTCCTCAGCACCTTCAAGGACCTCATCCAATCTTCCCAGGAAATCTTTGAGGCAGGTACAATTACAATCCCATTTTCAGGGGAGGTGACAGACAGACACTAGGGTGGCCCTGGGCCACCACCTCCTGGTATGCACACCCTTGTTTGGTTCCTGCCCCTTGAGTGAGAGCAGGACCTGCAACCTGCTCCTAGCCAATCAAACACAGCAGAGATACAGGATGTGCACGATCATATTACATAAGATCGTAAGCCATGCTGCCGAGAGACTATGTCCCCGCTAGCCTCCAGGAGGCTGGCTGCCCCTGGAGAGCTGGGTGTGGGAGGGCCACATGCTGAGGAGCTGAGGGCAGCCAACAGCCAGCAAGAAACCAGGGCCCTAGTTCTGCAGCCTACAGGCAACCGAATTCCGCGCACAACCACGAGTTTGGAAGGGCATCCTTCCCCAGTCAAGCCTCGGATGAGCCTGCGGCCCGGACAACACTGTGGCTGCCACTTGCTGAGATCCGGAGCCCAGACATGCCCAGACTCCTGAGTTCCTGTAAGATTAAAAATGCAACTATGTGTCATTTTAAGTACTGGGTTTGTGCTAATTATTATGCAGCAATAGATAACTAAAGCAGATAAGAAAACTGAGGCACAGAGAAGGTAAACAACTTACCCAAAGTCACAGAGCCTCTGAGTAGCAGAACCAGGATTCCACCCAGATAGTCTGACAAAATGGGGGCCGTGTAAGGCCTACCAACTGCCATGAATGCTATGCCTTAGGATATAAAAGAGTTGTTTTCATATATAAATCAAAAGAGAGAGAAGATCAAGAAATCATAATTTTATAGTAAGAAAGAAATAGAAGACTCTATGAGCTCCTGCATCTAATTGACATGCACCTGCCCAAGGCCCAGCAGGGAGCCAGTCCCGCAGCAGGTGTGTGTGTGTGTGTGTGTGTGTGTGTGTGTGAGCCAGTCCCGCAGCAGGTGTGTGCGTGTGTGCGAGCCAGTCCTGCAGCAGGTGTGTGTGTGTGTGAGCCAGTCCTGCAGC